TGAAATGCAGAAGCAGGGAGGAGAAGGAATTGCAGAGTAGCAGAGGAGGGGCCATAGGAGAGGGAAGAAGCTGAGTCGAGAGAGAGGGTGAAGTGTTTTTGATGGTACGTATATTGGGAGGATCTTTCTTGGAATATAGCCCACAGATTTTGTTGTCCCCACTTTCCCCTTAATCGCTTTCCTTCCCACCCAACTCTACTGTTACCCCACTCCAAAATTTCGCCATTTGCCTTTTACTCTGTTTTTACTTTTATCATTTTATTTTTAAATTTATTCATTTATTTTTATTAATAATTATTCAAATCTTAATATCAAATTTTTTAAACTTATAAATAAAATACATAGAAAACTGAAAACAAAATTAATTATCGATGAAAAGAACAGAAGGTAACCAGACAATTATTTATTTATTTATTTAGATAACATGTATTTTTTCCCACAAACAATTATATTTAAATTGGATAGTACTATTAAGCAACAAAGTTTTTTTTATAATATTTAATATAGTTATATTTATTAAAAATTAAACTTAAACTAGATAAATTATTTTTATTTGAATTATAAATAAAATAAAATAATTTTATTATTATTTTTGTATAATGAATAAAGGATAATATAAATATTCTCACAACTTATCTTAATAATAACACTTAAACAACCATTAATTATAAATCATGATTTTGGTTATTTAATTTTTTTATGCTATATTATTTTTGTATTATATACTTTTGTTACATTTATTTTTGTAAGATGTATTGTTGTAAATTATTTTTTAAAATGTGATATTTAAAAAAAATAAAATAGGACCTTTTCATAAATATGAAATGCAAAGATTAAATAATAAAAAAAGTTAAAAGTTCTTAAAACTCGTCAATTGTGATTTTTAAAAGAAATATTAAAAAATAAAACTTACCATGACAATTTTTAAAAAATATTAAAAAATTTCAAGTAAAAAAATATATGATTTGAAAAATTTTCAAATTTTCATTAAAAAAGCCTTTTTTTAAATCACTAATAACTTTTATGTAATTATTCCCTTTTTCCCATATTAAAAAGAGCCTTTTCTAAATCACTGATAACTTATATTTGGTAATTTTTTTATTATTTAAAAAAAATCATTATCAATGAGTTTTGATTTTTTAAATTCATCTTTGACAAATTTTAATAATTTATAATTTTTTATTATTTTATCTTTTTTTTGTGGAACTCTTATTTTTGCAATTAAATTTTATATAAATATAATAATCCATGAATAAATGTTTTACATTAATAGAATTAATAAAATCGATACACACACGGAGACAGAATTTGACTCCTATATATTTGATACATACCATCGGAAGTTTTACCATTGAAAGTGTCCTAATGCGCACATTCGTAAATTATTATTGAATTAATTTAGACGTAGTTAATATTTCAATAAATAAAAATGTAATCATACTTTATTATTAATTATTAAACCATGAATTCATTGTAAGTTATAATAATAATAGTAATAATTAAAATGTATAAATATAACAAATACGTGAATACAGTAGATAAATTATCATGCTTTATAACAATAATTTCGGTATAAAAAGGAATTTACTCCTTTTAAGAGTAAGTTTATTAAGTTATTAAATTATATAATGTTATTGTTATAATTAAATACATTAAATTTCAAATTAATTGAATATTCACAAATACGCAATCTTACTGTTGACCTTTACTTATTTTTTTAAAAGCATATTATATGTTAAAAAAATATTCAATAAACTATAAAATAATTTTAAATTTTATAAATATTGGTAGAGTTAATTTATTTTAAAAAAACTAGTTAAATTAGTAAATTTTAAGTAATAAAAATTACTCAGAGAGTAAATATATTTCTTATATATTTATAAAATAATTAAGTGATTGGACGGAAGATTAACTTGTTAGTTACTGGTGAGAAAGAAAAAGGAGTTTTATTGGAAAAAACAAGTAAAAACACGTTAAAGTGAAGCATCTTTGGGTATATTTTATTGATAGAAAAAAAAACATAAAATATAGGTTTGAGTTCTTAATTTTAGGGTGTGATATTTTAGTTTTTAATATAAATGCTTTTAATATTTTTTTCTCTTTTAAATTCTTCCAATTGAAGCCTAAATTGATTTCAAACGAATTTAATAATGTTTTTAAAATTAAATTAATATTAAAATATTAATGCACTTATTCATAATTGATCAATTCAATTGTAGAATCGAACTAATAATAAAATATATTTTTAATATTAAATAACATATTCACTAATAAATGATATAAAATTATAAAAAACGGATCGTTGAAAATTTTAATTAGCATATCATATTTATTAAACAAATAAAAAATTTAAGTAAAAAAAAGTATCCTATCTCATACTCTTATTATATCTCATACTTATATTATCTTAACAAATGTTTACCGATTAAATAATATTTTAATAAGTTATATTATATATCAAGTTAGGTCTAATGTTAATTTTGCAACATTAAATTATGACAATCAAATAACCAAATCATATTAGTAAGTGATAAGCATCAGTACTTGTTTACTTCTATGACGACCTCAAATCTTAAATGCCAATGCCAAAAACTGTTGGCGAAGAAAACATCGTTGACACAACAAATAATATGTGAAAAGAAAAAAAGTTCATTTCAATTCTTATAGAATTGAAATTGATTTTATAATTTTAAACTATAATCCCAAATTACTGAGTCAATTAAACCCTTCTTAAATTCATTCTTTTACAAGTTTAATAACTCCCATTTTTAATTAAAAAAAAGGAGTAATAATTTTGTTGCTTTAATTCCTAAGACAAAAAAAAAAAACCATTTATTTTATAAACACTATTAAAAACTATATAAGTTAAATGTTTTGTTATTATTTTGTTAAAAAATGATTATTATTTGAAATAAATTAAATCAAGCACGCATAAGCTGAAGTCCAAAGCTTGATTTCAAATACGATCCTACTCCTGAAGGGTAGTGGCCATATACGTCGTCATCTTAATTATCCAAATCTAATTTGGATGTGAAATAATATGCTGCATGATATGTGGTCTGATATTGTTCACAAACGTTGTAAATTAAGGAAACAGATAAGAGAGGGAGAGAGAAAGAAGGTTTCAGAAAACAATGATGAGCGAAAAATTTGCTCAACTTTCCCTGCCTTGAAAGTTTTCTTCATCTACCCTGATTAATGGATTTCAATGTTAATGTGGCCCCCAAGTGTAGTTCCATGTTTGCCTGCATAAATGTTCAAATATATACAGAAAGATTGTGAGAGAAGCTATGGCCCTACCACCCAAGCAAAGCATTTCTGGTGGATGAGAAAATATTAACATAAATGATGGTGCACATCTTTACTTTTATATCTTCTCATTGCCCACTGGTGGCTAGCTATCCTACATTCATATCAACCCATCAATCAATATAATCGATAAGAGTCTGAGCAACCTCCATAAAGAATAACATATTAGTCGCCATTGTTTTTTCTGCTCTTTCTTTCTCTTCATAAGCACGTGCTAGGAAACTATTTGATCGAGTAAATAAACGAAGCAGCCTAGTAGAAATAAATGGTGTTTCTTTGGATTCCATAATATTCTCTCAATTTTGTCTTTTTGACTTCATTTAGAGAGAGAAAGTCGTTCATTGGGCTAAAGTTTGTGAATGATATAAGGTCTAGCTAGCACCATCTAAGCAAAGCATCTTGAATTTTCAGAATATTACAGGACTTGTGAATGCTAAATATTATGTTGGCAAGACCTGTGCGCGGCATACAATATAAAATTACGTATATCGATTTGATTTATGCAACTTGAACTTGAAGATATTGCAATTTGCACTGTGGAGCATTTCTTCCAATGGTCCTCATTATTGTTGATAATATATATATGGTCGGCCATGTTACATTTACTCTTCAAATAAGAGCCCTTAATATCTCAAACAAGGCAACTTTCCAATGTCTTCTGATGAGAAAAGGTGGCTCCTGTATTTATGTATGCTATGCAATATTTTGTTTGTAATCCAATTTTGCTGGTATGGTCACGGGAGCTTTATACCAACAAAAGAAATAATACTTAATTAAAGGATCGATATAAAATTTCAAATGACATTGGCAGAATAATTGATAATATTATTTACATTTTATTATAATTTAATTTAAATTCACGGTTTTTCCAATTATAAATTATCATATCGTAAAAAAATCATTTATTTTATAATAATTAATAATGTAAATTATATATATCATGCATTTTAATTTATTGTTAGTGTAGAAATATTTGTTCTGATAATGTATTAAAATTAATCTTATTTTACTATGCACAATTAGTTACATATTTTTTTAAATATGATATTACTGAAACATTTAATTTTTTTTTAGTTTAATTAGGAAATGCATAGACTATATTAAAAATAGAGTTTATATTAATTCGAATGATTGACACAATAGTGTGAACTCTATTACAACCTTTTGTGTATGGTCAATTTATTTAATAAAAAATTATGTTTTCAAACTTTATCGTATTTAAATTTTTTGAAGTTAGCAATAATCATAAATTATGAACAGATATTAATCTCCTTTTAGTATTTTTTTAGTTCATGTATTTTTTTTCCTGTCTACTATTACATAAAAAAAATAAAGATAAAAAAATTATAAAGCTTTTACTAATGTTATATTAATTTTATTTACAAAAATAGCTTTTAATATTTTTTAGTTAAAAATATATGAATTAAGCACCATTGTTTAGTACATAAATAGTTAATTTATTTTATATATCTATTTTTTTATAAAATTTATGCTACTAAAATATTCACCATAAATAAAGTTATTCATTTATTAATATATAAAACATTAATTATCATCATAAATATTTTTAAAAGAAAATGTAAATTTATAACACACAATTGCTTCTTTTTAGTATTAATGAATAAAGTATTTATTGAGTGATAATATATAGTAAACAAGTAAAATAAGCTGCTTTTAACAATTCTTAACTCATTGAATATTTTATGTAATAGACAAATTTTGCGAATCTCCATGAAAATTTTGTTTTTGGCATGAATGAATATAATACTGGGGGGTATCGTAAGCATTTCTCAGCCGCGCTGTGTGAACGTGATCATTCATAAAAGCTGCTTTTCCAAGTTTAATGTTTCCATGCCAATCGAATCCAGCATGTCCACCACAAACCCACTCCTCACCTCGCGCCACGTGGCAGTAATCGGCGCCGGCGCTGCTGGTATTGTGGCGGCACGCGAGCTACGGCGAGAAGGTCATCGGGTGGTGGTTTTCGAGCGGGGGGACCAAGTGGGTGGGACGTGGGTGTACAGTACGGAGGTCGAATCGGATCCGCTAGGGTTGGACCCGAAGCGAAGCGTGGTCCACTCGAGCCTGTACGAGTCGCTCCGAACCAATCTGCCTCGGGAGAGTATGGGATTCCGTGATTACCCCTTCAGGAAGAGGGAGGGGAAGGGGAGGGATTCTAGAAGGTTCCCAAGTCACAGCGAGGTTTTGATGTATTTGCAGGATTTCGCTACTGATTTTGAGATCAATGAATTGGTGAGGTTTCGAACGGAGGTGGTGTTCGCTGGGTTGGGTGAAGGTGGAAAATGGAGGGTCACATCAAAATCGCAAGATAGTGATAGTGTTTTTGTGGATGAGATTTACGATGCTCTCGTTGTTTGCAATGGACGCTACGTTCAGCCTCGCCTTCCTCATATTCCTGGTTTGTTCCTTTTCTCTCTCTCCTTTCTTTATATATATTACCCACCGAGTTTTTTTCACATTTAAAGTTAAATATTTAAAACAGATATTTTATGAAACGAGGGTAATGCCTTTTTTAAAAATAAAATAATATTACTTTGTTATTAATATTTTTCCTAATTTTTATGATTATTCAATAATTAGTTTTTTCCATATCTTTTTGAAAATGCTTTACTAGCTACTATAACTTAAAAGTGTCATATCGGTCGACTCGACCATATTAAAATACGAGTGCTTAATGTTTATACTTTATATTTGATCTAAGGGTAAATTAAATTTCAGCACATTTTTTGGTCAAACAAATTTGAACACAATGAAAGAAAAAGATTGCATCTCCGGCCATATTGGACTGGCCCGTTCAGATTATAACAATTTTGGAATAATCCGGCCCAAAACCCGGCTCGGTCCATTTGTGTTACGTTTATATAAAGAAGAAATTACCATTAATTATCCAAACTTTCCGTTGAAAATCTTAATGAAATTTTAATATGCAAGCGACAGAATATTAGGCCTAACAAAGCAATTATACATATGTAATTCTTGTTTCGTTTTATCTAACAATTTATCTCTTTCCAGGCATTAATGCATGGCCAGGGAAGCAGATGCATAGCCATAATTATAGAACACCTGAGCCCTTTCAAGATCAAGTATGTACTAGATTCCTTCTTCTATTTCACATTGTGTGTGTGTGTTATGTGTTAAATATTGCTGAAGCAGGTTATTGATTAGCTCTGAGTGCAAATGTTAAAAGAAAAACAAAAAAACTGGATAACTGGAAATCATGATCTTATCTGATTAATTTTTTCCGTTTCTTGAATGGGTAGGTTGTAGTTCTAATAGGTGGTGCTGCTAGTGCGGTTGATATCTCTCGAGATGTTGCAACAGTTGCTAAAGAAGTCCACATTGCAGATAGGTCAGTTGAAGAAGCTAAGCTAGGGAAGGTGCCCGGCCATGATAACATGTGGCTTCATTCAATGGTAAAACTTATCATCCATGGTGAGACTTGGATGACTATCATGAGTATCCTTTAATATGTTTTACAACTGTTCTCTAGAATGGTTAATCTGAAGCTAGTAATCCTTAATCAATGTAGATTGACAGCGTTCATGAAGATGGTACAATTGTTTTCCAAGATGGAAATGCAGTTGGTGCTGACTCCATTATATATTGCACAGGGTATGCTGAGCATTCTTAATTAGTTTTGTATCAGTTTCCATTGAAGACCCCAATTTATTTTGTTTCTAATTCAAAAACCTTCAATTGAGACACAGAACTCATTTGTTTCTTTTCCAGGTACAAGTATGATTTCCCTTTCCTTGAAACCAACGGGGAGGTGAGTGTAGATGACAACCGTGTAGGACCACTTTACAAGCATGTTTTCCCACCAGCGTTGGCTCCATGGCTTTCATTTGTTGGGTTGCCTTGGAAGGTTGTTCCCATGTCATATTTCTTCTTCATTGTCTTTGTCGTGAAACAATAGTTTCAAATATTTTTAATTTTGCACGTGGCTTTTAAAATTGATACATGCACGAAATTGATGGCAGGTTCTTCCCTTCATTATGTTCGAACTGCAAAGCAAATGGATAGCTGGAATTTTGTCTAATCGCATTGCACTTCCTTCAGAAGAGGAGATGGCTGAAGATATTGAAGCATTTTACTCGTCACTCGAAGCCTCTGGGACTCCTAAGCGTTACACTCATAATTTGGCTCTTCTTCAGGTGCTTTTTTGTTTTTGAACTTTTTGTCTGGTTGTGCCTTTTTATCGTTGCCTATATTAATTCTTGGTCATGAAGACTTATATTCAACTGGTTTGTCCATAGACTGACAGACACATGATGTGTTTGGGATTGTGCCATATTACAGTGGGATTACGACAACTGGATTGCGGATCTGTGTGGGTTGGCTCCTGTTGAAGAATGGAGAAGGCAAATGTATATGGCCGTCTCTAAGAACAAGGTCTTGCGACCCGAATCTTACCGTGACGAGTGGGAGGATGACGACTTGGTTCTGCAAGCTCAACATGCTTTTGCTAATTATATGATCTGATGTCGTCACAAGTCCTAATCCAAGCCAATTATGCACTCTGCCTCCAATTCAGTGTTGAGAATAACGATCACAAAGTCAACTATACCGCGCAGTTTCAAAGAAAGAAGTTAATTTGATATTTAAAAGTAATAACGTTATTATATATTCAGAGCGCTTTTTATAATTCATCCATTAGTAAACATGTGTTGGCGATGTGATCGCTTGTTATTTTAGTTTTAGTGTTTTACTGTTTCCCTTAAATAACTGCGTAGCTTATCTAATCTAAAGATTTCAAAAAGAAAAAAGAGAAAACATCACAAGGATTTGAATTGTTAATTTAAGGTAAATATTCATTTGAATAAACGTCCACTTCTAATAGCCTTTGGACTTTCATCGTCCCATAACCTATACACCGCGTAGCAAAATCGGAACAACCTCTTTTTCCACTCTTAACTTGAAACAGATTTGACGTCTTAGTCCAGGCATGCGTTTGGTTCTGTTTCATCAAAGCAACTTCTATCCTTGATGGGCTTTCTTCATACGAGCCTACCTAGCATAATACCTAAACACGGAGGAACAACTTTGGTACATTACACCATATCAGAAGTAGCAGAATACTAAAGAGTACACTTGATGTGTAATATCCAGTTGTGGATCTTTTGTTCTACCCACGACATAAGTAAAAAATATCATCAGTCGGAAGAAAAAACCTCAGGTTCTTTCTTCAGATAATCAGGTGAGTTGGAATGACTTAAATCAGTTTACTGACCAGAACATTAATGCAATTCTCCTGAAACGAAATTTTAATTAGGAGTGCAGCTCAGCCTTAAAAGTTTTGGTTTTGCAAACTTTGAATCTTTCAAGATCAAAATCAATTAACCATAGGTAAAAGAATACCATGGGACTGTCTACCTGACTTCTACTTTCCCTCAGATGAGGCTTTTTGTAGATTGCTTCTCTTGCCCTTTCTCTGATGTGAGATGGACACGTTTCTTTGTCTGTTTCTCACTCGGTTCTTCCTTTGTAAAGAGATGGCCGTATTTTTCCAGTACTCTCTCTTTCTCTTCAACTAAGCCTAACATCTCATATGCATTTGCCACTTTCTGAATGATAGATTTATCCCGAGGTTTACGACCAAAAGCTTCCAGTCCCTTGAAAAGCTTTTAATCAAAAGCACAAGATCATGAAGAGAAGGTTAACTGTGTGTTAATTTAATTCTTTATGTGTATGTAATAGTCAAACAAAGAGTAAGAATGCTGGATGCAAGCCCAATAATACCTGTAGTATTACAACAATATGCAAGCGGACTCCCTCTGAGGTACACATAAATTGAGATAAGCAAATTACTTGATTTTTTTAACTCAACAGAAATGACTGGGTTAAGTATTCATTGTTGTTCCTCTATATTCAAATAGTAATCCATTAGTCAGTATTCATTGGTGATAAACTATTTCTTTTATTATCCTCTGGCATTGATTAAATTCAACGTAGTTATGACTTATGACCAGTATCTATTGCTTCTGTGATAGCTGTTCTACTTTTCAACTGTTAAATTTCCTTTTACCTGGGATTTTGCCAAGTACAATGTTGGGAAAAATGAGCAGTACAGTGCAAATAATGGAATCTCCATAAAAAGGGTAACAGTAACTATGTTTGAAGGGACACTGAAAATAATAATTTTGTATTATTTAAGTTTTCACCAACTGCATTTCTACCTTTTATTTTTAATATGAACTTTTCCAATGAATGAGGATTATTTATGATTCTGTTGCTACTGAAAGAGATTTATCCCTCCCCCCCCCACAAAAAAAAAAGTCAATTATAGCATATTGCATACTATATTAGCCTGCAACAACAACCAAGCTTTATTATACCAAGTGGGTTATGCAGTTTGCTACATGGATTAATCAAAACATCATTGCAATAATACTTCCATGAGAGCAAGCACAAGTAGTATTGCTTATTAGCAATATATATTTCATAATGTAAAGCATACCTTAACAAGATCTTCCAGCATGTTGTTTCGATAATATACTGATATCATTAGATGACACAATTGCCAAGGAACTGAGTGCAAATCAGTACCAATTTTCATCTCCCAGAATTTTTGTGCTTCTTCCACTCTATGGTCCATATCTAAAGCTTGTATCAATTGACCATATGTTCCCATTGTCATCCCCTGCCCTTTGCTCAGCATCCATTTAATTACCTTGATAGGATAATAAAACACCAGAGTGATTTACTGAATAATATTGAGTTCAAGTAAAATTCTACCCTGGACAATCTTTTTTACTCCAAATATTAGAAGTACTCCCAAACATCTTTATTTACCCAAAACTCAAAATACATCCTGGAACTAACTTGCCAACAGATCAGGCCAAAATCAAGACATGACTAAGAAACACTATAAATTAACTTTATCAACAAAAGAAAGAAAGCAATAAATGGATAAATTGACCAGCTTCTACACAGAGAATAAATCTACAAAAGCTTCCTACGTACACAACAAAACACAGTTGGCAATTCACTTGTTTGCCTACATGCATTTCCATCACGAGAGTCAGGCAACCGGCACATTCAATGTTTGTTATCCTTTTTCAGAGTCATAGGATTTTTTTTTTCCAACTGTTATTAAGTTCAATTTGCTTCAAGCACATAAATTAATCAGATTAGAAAGGAGAGTTGAACTACTATTAGACATGTTCCATATTGACTGAGAAAGAATGCAAAAGAAGAAGAAAAAGGAAGCAGCAGTGATACCTGAATAACCCTATGCCACTGCTGTTCCTTCTGAAGAGCAATCAATACCGTTTTCAAGGAGGCGATGGGAAAGTTTTTCTCCCAGGCAACCCAGGCATCAAGAGCACCATAAATAGCCTCCTTACTGTCGTTGAGCTCAAGAAGCTGCATCATTTGGTTTAAACATTAAAGCTTAAAGCACGAATATATTCAGTTTGGCAAACATTGTTATTAATATTAATTATAGTTACCGTAGAGTAAAGATACTTGTTCTTGTCTTTCCTAGATACATTTTCCCCAATATAATTACTTGGAGCTGTGAATTCAGTGTGACGAGGATCACACTTCGTCTGCGAGGCAAATTAATTGAATTATGTAATGGAAAGATAACTAACTAAGAATGTTAAATAGGTAGATACCTGTTCAAAATTGGATGGAGGAGGCGACACTTGACTATAACAACAACGCCCATGCTTAACCTTCACATCACTTACTTTGATTTGACTCAATCTACCAGCCTGAAGAACTAAGCTATATCACTTACATTCAGGAAATGGCGATGACATATGGAGAGAAAGAGAAAGACTCACGAGATAATAGATTCGAGACGATCTCCACCTCCACATGCTTTTCCAAGCTTTAACTACACACGCTCGATTTTCTTTGCTTCCCCTCTCGTCCCGAACTCCACTCTCCTTTTCTTGTTTTCTCCCTCTCTCATTTCGGGCCGGGCCTCGTTAATTTGGGCCTTCATTTCCAAAAATGTTAAATAAATTAAACAAAAGCCATTCATGGTAAAAAAAAAAAAAAACAAAGAGGCTCGATTTTATTAGGAATTTTTAATTTTAAAGAATCAAATGTCATCAAAATTATTATGTAATGTGAAAAACAATGCTTAGATAACATAATCTTTTTGTACACTAAGACTGCATACCATATTTGATGTCTTTATTTGATTGTAATGAATTTACAATATTTATATTCTTTTTTTAATTTCAGTTGAATTAATAGATTCCATTTTTATATATACCTTCTTATTTTTTTAATAAAAAATAAAAGACTAAATTATCAGGATAAAAAAAAAATCTATAATATTAAACTGTATAACTCGTGTAATTACTTTAACGTAAACATATATTTAATAATAATAAAATATAATCAATACATTTTAAATTTATCATATATTTCTTAGGACTAAAAAATATTATGTTTTATTCTTTATAAAAAGAGCTCAAAAAAGTACTACGTAATATATTTTTTTATTAAAATATTACAAATAAAGGTAGTGAAACTAAAAAAATTTAAAAGGAAGGCAACATCGGAGACCTAGTAGTGGATTTATCGTATATTTTAAAGTTAAATAAAATTAATTTAGAAGGATTAAAGCCGTAGATAAAGTTATTTTGAATAAAAATAATAATATTAAAAAGTGCACATAGAAATTGATTTTAGAGAACCCTAAAAATGCTCCGCAAATTGGTAACATTATACAAAGTTGACTCACTGGTATACAAGGAAGTGGAAGTATGCGTAAAATGTTGAAACGATGAAGCTAAAAAATTTGTTAGAAGTACAATCTGGAAACCATTATTGGATACAAAAATAAATTTCATTGGGCCCCTGCCGGAGTATCCATATGCATTTCAGTACAATGGGGATCGATAAGGGACACCTTTTCGCCGGTTCACAGCGGCGGTTAGTTCCGTTGAACTCTTCATGCTCTCTGCAACACCCAAACTAATGGTACTCGTTGACCCAGACACAGACGTGGAGGAGGGTGAGTCTAGGACCCAATCTGATTCCGTTGTGATTTGGCTGTCTTCAGTTTCTATGGGTTTCACGATGCTTCTTTCTTTGTCTAGTACAACACAGAATTCATCGTACCTGTTCCAAGAACTCTTTGTCGTTCCGCTTTTGGTAATTAGCACAAGATGATGCACCTGCTGATAATTATCATCATCAAAAATCAAAATGAAAAACTGAAAGAAACCAAATTATTTGATTTGAATGAATAACACAAAAAATTGAACCTTGCAAGACAGACAACAGAAGATGTATGGGTCTTGGAGGGTACGGTGACATGTGATGCAAAGGTTGGCAAAGCCTTTGAGAGTGCCTTTGAGAGTGCGAGAGGTTGGCCTTTGTTTCAAAAATACAACCTTAGCTTTATTAACTGTGTACGGCTGTTAATTCATCAGAATTCAGAAACAATTAGATTTTAACGAGAGAACAATAAATGTATATATACTTTTGTTTGTTTTTAACATTGATGCTTTTACTTACTTGAACAAGTGAACAATTCAACAATGTCTGAGCATCACCAAGCCGTAATACGTCATTGTACATGTACCTTCGTATCTGACACACAGGAAATGGGTTAAGAAAATCATTGAATTTGTATTCAAGTGTTAGCTAAAAAAATTTTTGCACCTGCAATAGGACGTGAGAGGGGTGACAGGGCAAACAGAGGATGCAAATGCTCGTGCAGCAATCTATGCAAAAAATGTTCTTCTTGTTCTTCCTTACTGGCCCATGAATCAAACAAGGAGTAAAAAATTTCTCTTCCTTAAGAATGAGAAGCCAATTAGGAACTGAGTTGATGGAGTCGAGGCCAACCTGAACACCCAACACTAGCATTCTAAATATTACTGGCAATACAGTAATGATCAGAAATTCTACCAGAAAAAGCATAGACTTTACCATGTTAAGTTGTTGTTCAGAAGACAATGGAACGAAGGTCATACATGATGAATCATAGGAACCAGAGAAGAGTCGACCATAGCTGTAAAGTTAATTTTCTGAAGAGAAGAGAGACAAGAGGGCAGGGGGTAAAGTTTGAATGAATATAGGATTTTGTTTTTCTAAAATAAGAATTTAGAGTATAAAGTGCAGTTATAGTTATTTATTAGAAAACTAATGCATGAAAAATTAATAATTTTACAGTTTGTTATAATATTTTAATGATTAATATTCTAGTCAATAGTTATAATTATAAATTATTTTTGAGAATATACATTCAGACTATTTCTAGTCAAATCTATTTATAGTTCTATTATTTGAATATGAAAAATTAATACTGTACCTTAATGAATTTTTTACTTTTAAATTTCTCTTTAGAAAAGATATATGCATCTAAAAAACACACCAAAAAAATTAAAGGAACAATAATTTATGCTCTATAAACATTTTGTATATTTAGATGCAAGTGTTCGCGGCCAAAAGATGTGCACAGAAATAAGATAGCAGTTATTGTTTTGAATTGCAGGATAATGAAATAAGATGGCAAACTTTCCGCAATTTTGGACCATAGAGTACTTGCGTGTTGAATGTTATATTCACAATGACAGTGGCAACACGTTGAACGTTGTATGCTATGCACTATGTCTATGCACCGTGGCCCTGCCAACTGCGTGGTAGGCTTGGCCAGTTTGGGCACCTTATGCTCTTCTTTCTTTCGGCGTGACAAAGTGACACAACCCCAAAAATTACGCTTCCTTTGTCTTTCTTCTAAATTGCTGCAACACACGAGCCCACAACAAAGAACGTCAACATTGAATAATGAGAAATTTCTGCTACTTGACATAGCAAATCCTATATCTCACTTTACAATATGACTTGACATCTGAAAGGTTTTTATAATATAATTAAAACTACATTTTTATTGCCTTCTTGTACTTTCATTTTCCCAATATCTGAAGTGTATTTGTTTGAAATGTGTGTTTACTATTTTTCATAACAAAACTAGTGCATCCTTGGAAGATATATTAAAATGACTAGTCGTCTGTTGAAAAAAAGATTATTATATTTTACTTCGTTGAATAAATTTCAAAAAAATAAGAAAAGTAATAAGCAAGTGATTATTGTATTTTAGCATACTAAGATTTCTAATGGATTATTGAGACATTTTGGGCATGAATTGATGGAAAATAAGGCAAGCACATACCCATGCTTCAAGCATATACACAGTCATGCTACTGCATATAACTTGAAGATTATTTTAGAGACCCATAAAGAGAGAGTTTGTTAGATCTCAGAGTTGGGAAAAAGTTTAGAGAGAGAAGAATTTAAAAAAGAAATAGAGAAAGTTAGAAAGAAAAGGTATGAGTGATCATTCTCTTCATATTCTACAGAAAAGCTCAAATACATATATAGTTTGATAACAACAAAAATAACAAACGTATAGGAAATAAAAATAACATATATAATAATATCAGAGGCTAACGAACAAACTCTAATGCCTTCCACCATTTCTTTTACGTCCCTCTTTAGTGATTGAATAGTCTTTCATCTACTTGGGTTGACCACACATTCTTTTGGGCCTTGTTGGGTGGTGTAAACTATGATATTGGTCTTCCATCTCAATAGCAGGTTCCAAGTCCTATACCTCTTACTCTAGGTCTTCATTCCCTTATTGGATCATATCATCCCTCTCCTAATGGACAAACATCTTGTCCTCAATGTGCAGTTTAGGAAATTCTTGTAGCAGGTCGTCTAAGAGTTTTCAACTGAAATATTCAGGAAATAGTTCATGCCATTGCACCAAAACTCACTCTTGAGGATGATCACCTGTGTTTTAGTAGCCACAATAGCCATTGGAAGAACCTTAGGTTGATTGTCAATTGCAGTAAAAGGTGGCATAATCAATTCCTTATGTGCAGAATCTCCATAGAAAGGTTTGAGTTTGGAAACATGAAATACAGGATGAATTTTGGACTCCTTAGGTAAGTCCAACTCAAAAGCAACATCATTGATATCCTTAACTATTGAAAAAGGTCCATAGAACCTTTTGCCAAGCTTTCGATGACGTCTCCCAGAAACAAAAACTTGTCTATAAAGTCATAGGTGAACCAAAACTTGATCTCCAACCTTAAAAGGATGAGAAGTACAGTGCTGGTCAGCATAATGCTTCATAGTGTCTTGGGCCTTAAGCAAATTGCTCTAAAGCTTAGCCAGGATATTTTCTCGAATGGTCAATTCAGATTCCATAGCTTCTAATTGACTGATACCTACAATATATTGGGAATTGAGGGAGGAATTTACCATAGACAACTTGGTACGGGCTCATTCTAGCAGAAGTCTGAAATGCTGAGTTATAATGTCACTCGGCCCAATGTAAATACTTGCCCCAAGCTGTAGGTTGGTGGTGAACAAAGGATTGTAAATATTGTTGGAGAATTTGATTCACTACCTCAGTTTTCCTGTCACCTTGAGGGTGATATGCGGTTGTCATACGCAACTTGGTTCCACTAAGCTTGAACAACTCACTCCAAAAATGGCTTATGAAAATTGGGTCAGGATCTGAGAGTATATTCTTGAGCATGCCATGTAATTTGCACACCATGATAGCAAACAATTGAGCTACTTGTGTAGCAGTAAAGGATGAACGCAACATACCAAAATGTGCCGCCTTTGAAAATCAGTCTACCACCACTAAAATCATTGTGTGATTTTGGAATGAAAGAAGTCCTATAATAAAATCTGTGGAGACATCTTCCCAAATTCTGGATAGAATCGATAATGGTTGTAAAAACCCATAAGGTGAATGAGTGGGCACTTTTATTTGTTGAAAAGTCAAACATTTGGAAACAAAGGCAGTAACATTTGCTTTTATATTGACCCAATAAAAATTTTCAGATATCCTCCTATAAGTCTTTAAGACCCCAGCATGTTTTCCAATCAGTGTAACATGAAATTCCTCAAGTAAAAGCTACTT